TTTATTTACAGCTCTGGGAGGTCTGCTGGAGAAAGTTTCTAGAAGCTGTGGTCAGGCTAAGAGATAACATGCAAACAACTGGAGACAGGGACCCTGGGAGAGAAGGAAGCGGAGGCCTTGGGGAATGGGGCTCGAGCTAAACGCTGCCCCAGTCGGCCTTTCCCGTCCTTTGCCACAGACATCTTCGGTCCCTGCTGTGTGTCAGGCCGGATGCCTGACCTTGTCCAGACTCTGTGCTACCAACACAGAGGCCAAGTGAGAGTGTTTATCACAGATGAGGGCTCGAGCGAGCACTTGCAGAGAGGTTACGTGACTTCTCTGAAGCCACACGGCAGAGGAGTGGCAGGAGGCGAGATCCGGCCTAGGCCATCAGCCACCACGACAACTAATGGTGAAGCCCGAATCCCAGACAAACCCCCCACGGTCCCTTACGGGGACACGTCTGAGCCTGCTGGTCGGGAGTTGTGCGAGGGCCCCTCAGGAGGGGGATGGGATGAGGTGCAGCCTGAAGGTTGCACCCTGGGGAAACCAAGGCACACACACTAGAGAGAAGGAATGACCAGAGAGAGATCTGAAGGCCACGGAAGTGAGTGGGGACTTGGGCACTAGAAGGAGGCTGCTTCCCGCCCTTCCCAAGGAAAAGCCCCCAAGTGCGAGAGACGCAGAGCCCACGCGCCGGCCTTGAATCTGCACTCTGGCATTTGTTTGCAGATCTTTTAGCTCTCTGTGCCTCAGTTTCCCCGGATATAAAGAGGAATGAAGCCAAGACCTACCCTCCCTGTAAGGCGCTCAGAGCAGAGCTCAGCAAACAGTAAAGGCTTCATACGTGATTATTCAATTAAAAACCTCACTACATATTTTACAAAGATACATGCGTACAGATGACATGAGTTCAAGGATGTAGATCCTTGCTGTTGGGGGTACGGGTGGGGAGGGGTGTGGAGCGCAGGGGTAAGTAGGAGAGAGGAGCCAATGCTAAGCACAGACGGAGCCCCATGTGGCCTTGGCAGTTTGCCATGAACCGTCCGCAGCACCAGCAGAAATAAATGACCAAGGAGGATGGACATAAATACCCCTGTGTGACATCCTTGGGCCTCACGCCAGGGAAAATGCAGAATGTCACCTTCACTCCACCCCGCACCCTTCTGCTGTCACCTGGACTTGTCGGGACACTGCTGGGCCCCCACCTTTCAATTACTCCCCAGCTGCCTCTCAGCAAAGAGTTTCTGAAGATCTAAGCATTTCACATTCTTCAGGCTCTTTGAGGAGCACGGGGTGGCCTGAGAGACACGTGGATACATTTGTCTCCAAGTGGCCTTCCTTCCCTCCTTCCTTCCTTCCTTTCCTTTCCTTCCTCCTTTCCTTTCCTTTCCTTTCCTTTCCTTTCCTTTCCTTTCCTTTCCTTTCCTTTCCTTTCCTTTCCTTTCCTTTCCTTTCCTTTCCTTTCCTTCCCTTTCCTTTCCTTTCCTTTCCTTTCCTTTCCTTTCCTTTCCTTTCCTTTCCTTTCCTTTCCTTTCCTTTCCTTTCCTTTCCTTTCCTTTCCTTTCCTTTCCTTTCCTTTCCTTTCCTTTCCTTTCCTTTCCTTTCCTTTCCTTTCCTTTCCTTCCTACTTCCCTTCTCTTCCCTTCCCTTCCCTTCCCTTCCCTTCCCTTCCCTTCCCTTCCTTCCTTCCTTCCTTCCTTCCTTCCTTCCTTCCTTCCTTCCTCCCTTCCTCAACCCATACACCCCTCACCACCTCTCCATCTGCTTCATGCATTTGTGCACCCTCTTGCCCACAGTAGGTCACGGCCCAGAACGGAAGATGTGAGCCTGCTCTGGCCCTTGGACCTGACAATCTATGAGACCAGCCAGGGCCTGTGTTGGCAGAGTGGTCAGGGAAAGGAGACGTGGATGTGGAAAACAGAGATGTGGAGCCCAGCCTGGGAAGGCCTGGGAACTGGAATATTCCAGACAATGGCTTCATCTCCCCATGTGTTCATCCATCGGTCCATCCATCTGTCCATCTACCATATTCGTTCATTTCTGCATTTACTCATTTCCTTGCTCGCCACATGAGGCAACTCGGTCTACTTGAAAAAAAAACAAACAACTTGTTTTGAAGCCACACAGGTGTGAGTTCTGATCACAGTTTCACTGCGCACTAGCTGAATGGCTGCGGCCAGACCTCAGTTTCTTCATCTGTAAAGGGGCACAATGATAGTGAGATGTCAGCATGAGGATGAACCGAGATGGGGATCCGGTGAGGGAGCAAGCGTCGCGGGGACGGGACCGTTGCCCCATAAGTGGCGGTGGTGTCACCGTCACCACCAGCCGGTCATTGAGAGTTTGTCCCGCTCACGTGCGGGAAGTGCCTGGCCCCAGGCCCCCACTCACCGCGGCTGAACCCAGGCACAAACCCAGGCTGCACCATGAGATCTTTCGAGATGCCGATGCCCTAGAACAGGACAGGCATGGGGCGACCCGACCACACTGGCCTCAGCCGGGGCCCGTTCTGACTCCTCCAGCCACAGATGGACCCGCTCCCCGCCTCCTTCAGGCCTCCTGATGACCTAGAGGTTAGGCACCAACACAGTCCTGCTTCTGTGCACGAAGGAAACTGAGGTACAGACACACCGTTGGTGGTCCAAGGCCCTCCAGTAAGTGGCAGAATCATGGTGGTACCTCAGGGGTCTTGCCTGCTAACCCGCCACTCGGCCCGAGTCACCGGGTCACCTCTCTCTGGGTGTCACTGGTGCTGAGGAGCGGCGACTTCCGGGGCTGGCTGGGCCATCCGGGCCTTCCCCAGCAGGTGCAAGCTGAGCACTGCATCGTGCTTTGGCTAGCTGTCCCACCTGCCCCTCGCGTTCTCTGGGTTCTGCTTGGCTCCTGTCCGAGAACACCGACAGGCTCGCTTGGCAGGGTCCCATCCTGACTCTGCTTTGTCACGGTCCTAGCCCCAGGCCTGACCCCAGCGAGTGTGTGCCCTCGAATTACCCAGTGTCTCTGCGTTTCCACTCCGTCTACCTTATGCTCATGAGAGGTCTCCCAGCACAGGGCCACGAGTGTTCATCAAAGGCTCACTGAACCTGAGTGAGCACCTAACACCTTGGGTGATTTCTTTATAGACGCCTGTCGACAGTGATTACTTTATGGGACTTCTATTTTTTAAGTTTATTTATTTATGTTGAGAGAGCAAGAGACAGAGTTGGGGAAGCGGCTGAGAGAGAGGGAGAGAGAAAACCCCAAGTATGTTGTTCGCTGACACCGGGGCTCAAACCCATGAACCGTGAGATCATGACCTGAATGGAAACCAGGGGTCAGATGATTAACCGACGAGCCACCCAGGTATCCCTTCATGGGGCTTATTCTTAAGAGGAGCAAGTAAGTTCATGAGAGAGGAAACAAGAACTGATGTTACCTATGTATCGTACACCCCTGTTTGCCATGCATTTTTATAAAGCCCCATTATAGCAATTAGGATGCAGTTGGCGCTAAGGAATAAAATAACTAACTATACTTGAGCATAAATCACCAAATTAGCCCCTATAACAGGAAGTCTGGAGGTAGCTGTTCCGTTTGGTTTAGCATCACTATAAAATCCCAAAGACCCCAGCTCTCTTCCTCTTTCTCCTCCACCAACCTCGGCATGTTGGCATTTCATCCTCAAGTAAGTTGTGCCTCATGTGCCCACGTGACTGCTGCAGCTCCAGCCATCAACTTTACACACAAGTAAAGAAGCAAATGAGTAGACAATTTTTTTCTCCTCCCAAGAGATGCAATCCTTTCTAGGAGCCCCCAGCAGAATTCTCTTTAGGTCTCACTGTCCAGAATTGGGTGAGAGGCCCAGTCCGAGGTCAATAAATGGAGAAACTTCTGTGGGGTAACAAACTCACTCACACAAACCTACACCACTGCCAAGTGGCCATGCATGCTCCCGCATCTCCTTGATAGGCTGCAGGAAAAGGAAACGAAGGGCAGGGAGTCCCCCTGAAGCCCAGAGACGGGATCTTGCTGGGGTGTGAAAGGGAGAGCAAGGAACTGAGTGTGGTCAAGTGTTCCCACTCACCAGGGCTGGGGGTTCCACCTAGTCCATGGGCAGGCTCGGGGAGGCTGTAGCCCGGAGGGAGCTTGGTTCGGTTTTCCAACATTCGCTCTGATGACCTTGGGAATTGGTGGAGGTCATTGGGGGGCCAGAAGGGAAGCTGTCTCTTAGATCTACACAGAGGATGAGAAGGTGAGATGGGGGTAGACGGGGCCCCAGGGGACACCCTTCCCGTGTGCGGCGATGTCCAGCAGAAGGCAGGCGAGGCACCCACGCCCACCAGGGATAACAAGTACCCGGACACGGGGAGACGGTGCCAGCACCAGAAGGGGTCTGGCTGATGACAGGGAAAGGGAACTCCTGTAAATTGGCAGAAGCATGGCTTTCATCTGTCGTGGAGGGATGATGAGAGCCTGAGCCCCAGGGCTGAGTTCATTTGTAAATTCCTATCATTTCTAGATGGCTGCTCTCAAAGCCATGCTCCTCTGCTCGCAGCCAGGGAGAGACGAGTGAATGAAATGAAAACCAGAAGTAGGAACAGCCTGAAGAAATGGGAGGGAGTTCATTTCCCCCGCTGGGAGCCCCAGAGTTCTTCCCCCCCCACCCCGCCCCGCCCGCCAGGGTAACTGTATCTCCACCTCGCCTGGCACCCCCCCTCCCGCGAGTCCCCCCTCCCCACCTTCGTGAAATACCTTGGCAGGATGGTCCCGGCTCCTTCCGCGAGAATTTACTGCCCCAGTGTGAAATCATAGCCCTGTAACTTTCCCTTTAAGAGCTGTCAGAGCCGGAGAGGCTGGCCAAGCTTGGGCTGGAGGTGGGGACAGAGGGAAGAAAGGGAAAAAGAGAGAGAGAGAGGCAGGAAAAGTTTTTTCAGAGGAAAATGCAGGGTTTGTCCTTAACTCTGACGTCAGATCTTGCTTTAATAAAACCCCCCCAAGGGCTGTGGGAAGAGACATATCTGGTACTCCTGATGGGCCGGGCCAGTCTCTCGGCCCAGCTCTCCCGAGAGGCGGCCGGATCCTCTGGGCTGCTCGGTCGATGCCTTTGCCCCTGACTTCCAGGCATGAGGTGGCTCCTGTCCTGGACGCTGGCAGCAGTGACCGCAGCAGCCGCGGGCAGCACCCTGGCCATGGTGAGTCCTGCTCGGAGGGGCTCAGGGAGGGGACCCAGATCTCTTTCTGCTGCACGGCTGGGTGGATCAAGAAGGGCTCGAAGTGTGGGGCCAAGGAGGTGCCCACCTTGAGACTGGAGTAGAGCCCAAGGGGGCGCTGTGCGGGGTCAGCTGATCCCCGCGTGGCTGGGGTCCGAGGAATGGGGAAGAGGCAGCGCCTGGGGGGGCAGAGCAAACAGGTGGCCCCCGCCCTTCTTTCCCACCTGAAGCGCAGCAGAAGGGGGGCGCTTGGTGGAGCGGGAGTCGGGGGCTGTGCCCAGGGCTGGCTGCGTGACCTTGGGCCAGTCACTCCTCCCTGAGCAGCGCTGGGTGAGGAAGTCGGCAGGGGATTTGTGACATCTCGGGTTTGGGGCAGGAGCCCCTCCAAATGCTGGAGATACTACAGGGAGAGGAGTCGGAAAACGCCGAGAGCGTAGGAAAGGAAAATGCCAGCTTTCAGCACACACGCCTCTCTCTTGAGCACACACCGCTTGGGGGTGATTTCTGGCCCTCGCGGCTGGCGCCTTGGGCTGGCACGGCCATCTAGGGCTCCGGAAGCTTGCACGTTGGGGCCCTGCGCGCGAAGCCTGCTGTTTCGGTGGCGGGGGGGGGGGGATCCCGAGGGTTCCCTCTCCTCCTCTCTCTCCCCCAGGGCAACCCAGAGGGAAGTGGGGAGGGTCTGCCCCTCTAGGAAGCCGGGGGAGCAAGTCACGTGGCAGACACAGCCAGCCTGCGGGCTTTGGGGGTAGAGGCGGGCCCAGGGTGGGCAGGAAGGTCCAACCTAAGATCTCGCAGCCCGGGCCACAGCCTGCTGCCAGCTGTAAAGCCAAGAGTCAGAGGGAAGGTGGCAAGAAGGGATTCGTTACCCGCTCACGAGGACGGCTTCTTCTGGCCTCCAGGGGCCCCATCTGTGGGTGAGGGAGCTGAGGCTCAGGGGCGAAGCCGATCGCCCACCGGCTCGAAGACACAGGTTCTGATTCACCCAGACCGGAGGCTGAGAGCAGGCGGCCGGCCCCAGCCCTGGTGCCTCTGGAGCTGGTGAGGGCTGGTGCCCCAAGCGCCGTCGTAGCGTGGAGTCGGGCAGGGAGCGTGTGTGAGATTTGTGGTCAAATCTTCTGAACCTTGCATGGTGCCCCGCCCCCACAGTCGGGGCCAAGCCATCCTACAAAAAAGCGGATACTAACTTCATTTTATAAAAGAAAGAGGGCAGCCTGGGGGGCTCGGTCGGTTAAGCATCCTACTTCAGCTCAGGTCGTGATCTCACCGTTCACGAGTTCAAGCCCCGCGTCGGGTCTGTGCTGGCAGCTCAGAGCCTGGAGGCTGCTTCCGATTCTGTGTCTTCCTCTCTCTCTGGCCATCCCCTGGTCACTCTTTCTCTCTCTCAAAAATAAACATTAAAAAAACTTTTTTAAAATAAAAGAAAGAAATGGGAGCTTAGAGCAAGTGAGGAACTTGTCCAGGGTCTCCCAATTAGCAAGTGGCCAAGGCTTAAATTTCGACCTTCCCTTGCCAAATCCTGCTCTTTCTTCCAGAGCTTCCCTAGCTTTGGGGAAACTGAGGGTTCCCTACAGACTGGAGCAACTGCAAGGGACCAGATCAGCCTTTATTCGGGGTTGCTGTGGCTGGGAGGTCAGGGGGTGGATGGAGAAGAGGTGCGAGGTGTAGGGTAGCAGGTGTGTGAGTGAGGAGGGGGAAAGGAGCCGCGGGTTGTCCAAGCACACCGGAGCCCGTTACCTCCCAGAACGGCTGGTGCTGGGGAAGACAGAGCCCGTCCACATCCACGGGCTCAGCCAAGGGGCCTGTAGCACAGGGGCCAAGAGTCTAGACAGCCCTGGGCAGCAGGACAGGCGAGAAGCTCCTGGGAGGAGGTGGGCATCTCTCCTGGATGCAGCCCCGGCCTGGGGACCATCTCCGGGCACCCAACCCTACTGGGCCCGCACTTGTGTCCAGACTCAGGAGCTGCCAGACAGAGTCCGGCAGGAAAGCTCTTGGAGCATCCTAAGCTGGCCCCCTCCCCCCACCCCACGAGAGCTCTGAGACAGATGGCGACAAGGACTTAGCTTTCCCGCTGAACCCCGTACACGGCCAGCCTGTCACACTAACATAGCGGGAATGCAAGCCCATTCGGGAACAGGTGGGACTTAATGGAAAAAATGATCGTGGATGTTCATATGGAAGAATAGGTTTGCGAGAATTGCCAAGAAGGCTCTGAGGGAAGACTTGCCCTGGCAGATAGTGAAGGATTATCTAAAGGTTCTGTTATCAAAGGAGGAAGATGCCAACAGTGAAGAGATGAACGGAGGAAGACGGGGCAGGGAGCTGGGAAGCTCAGCCAGGTCTCCTGGGGAACGTAATATACCATAAAGGTGTATTACACATACGGCCGGCTTTCCATCTCTTTGCTCTTTTCTTCCTTCCACATGGGCAGAGGCCAGCCCCTTGTGCTAAGAGAGAGGGGCTACAATTAGTGGGTACCGTGGCGTCCCGTGCCAAATGCTGAGTGTGTGTTCGTGTAAGACCTTCCTCGGTTCATCCAACAAGCATTTGCTAGCATTTATTGTGCACCTCCTCCAAGTCTCATAGCAATACTGTGAAGCTGATGTAATTAATCATCTCTCTTTGTAGAGGCAGAAGCTGAAGGTCAGAGAGGTTAAGCAATTTGTCCAAGGTCACACAGCTAGTAACCAGCAGATCTCAGTTTGATCCGGGGTCCAGCTCTTTGCGCTACAGCCCACTGTCTCCATGGTCCATGTACTCGTGCAGAAGTGAGGGGCTCGCGGTTTCTGTCCCTACAGAGCTTACAGGCTTGTGAGGCAGATGAGAGCCAGCCACACGGGGGGTTGAGAGGTGACAGGGATGGTCCCCTCCAGGAGAGAGGGGTTGGGTGCCAGCTGTGGACCAGCTGGACCGGCGTCAGCAGGTCCCTTAGCCACCCCGGGCCTCACCATCTGCTCTTGCAAACTGGGGCTAACGACCGTGGCCCCACCGTCTCCCTCTCAGAAGCCTGCGGCTAGGTAAACAAAATCTGCGCCAATAAATTCCAGGGCACACGTTAGGTCTGTGGTATCCTGAGTGCGGGTGAGACCCGCACCCCTTCCCCCGTACACATGTACACGGGATGTGCACAGCTCTGGGTGTGTGCGCCCATGTGTTGGAGATCGTGGCTCATCTGAGGGTGTAAATCGCCACGGTGCGTGTGCACACACACGGGTGTACGTGCTGGGGGTGCACGTGCTGGGGGTGCAAGTTCGTCCTCTGCACCTAGGACCCACCGCAGAGTAGTGTGGCCCAGAATTGCAGCATATCCCTTTTAAAAATGTGAGAACAGAAATGATATGCCTTCTTTACATCTCCTGCCCATGGTTTGGGATCTGAGCCAGCATTTCAAACTCCACCCCAGGCCCCTGGACGCTCTGCTCCCAGCTGCGGCCCCTCCCGCCTGCTGCTACTCCGGGACATCCCGGATGTCTGTGTGGCCACGGACGGGCACTTTCCACCTGGCGGGGCGCTTGGCGAAGCCCCACCTTCTGGAACGGGCGTGGGAGCAGTGCTCCTTGGAGAACCAGACCCTGACCACGGGCTGGGCAGTACCTCTGGGGGCCTGTTAGCCGACTCAGCTCCCCCAGCTTCTAGAAAAGGTCCCCGCCCCATGCCGGCAAAGCAGCCAAACTCCAGGAGGCTGCTTTCAGCTTCATACAGGGATCTGTGCCCGGGGTTCCTCCCAGAAACCTCTGGGCAATCGGGAGGGGCTGCTATACACACTGTGGTTTCCGTATGGGAGCAAGGAAATCGAGACAGCAGTGGCCCAGGCTGGGGTCCCGAGAGGGGCTGGGAGTCTTGCCAACCACAGCCAGGAAAGTGAAGGAAGGAAGGAAGTTTTGAGCTGAGACCGTATAACGCTGCAAAGGTCTAAGAGCTAGGGGTTGGCACTTTGCACACTCATTCGACACCACCAGAGCGCCCCATGTCTCAGCAATGCTGATGGTAAGGAAGGCCTACACCGATTAGGCACTCACGGTGTCCTGGACTGTGTCCTAAGCACTCTGCATATAAGTCACTCGAAAACCACATCTATGAAGCAAGCAGCATCATTCTACCAGTGCCGTCCAATGTGGTCACTGAGCACGCGAGGCCACGGAGGCAGCTCTCAGCTGTAACACACACACACCAGATTTCAAAGATTCAGTGTGAGTACAAGGACATACCATTCTCACTGTGATTCTTCTATTGACTCCGTGTTGACATGAGAATATTTTTAATATATTGAGTTAAATAGGATGTTAAACTAACTTTCCCTGATTTCTTGTTAGTTTTCAATGTGGCTCCTAGAAAAGGTAGAATTCCACACACGGCTCGCATTGTGTTTTTCTAGGCAGTGTTGGCCAGGAGAGGCAAGAGCATACAGATGGGTTTTAATAGGTGGAAAGGGAAAGCTACCAAGGGCTCTACCCCCAGCTCTTCCACTAAGAAGGTTTCTTCATTTGTGAAAAGAAATAATATTAGTGCTTTCCTCCTTGGGTTCTTGAGATGATTAAGGAATACAGATAAAGCACAGAAAGCCACAGCACACCCCAGGGGAAGGGGGGAAATGATTCCCTTTGTGTCAGTCACAGGGGTGGAGGCAGCCCAGCTTGATAGGAAGCTGCAGAAAAGTGCCAGGTCTGAGCAGATGAGCAGGGGTTTATACAGACTGCAGACTCAGCTGCCGGCGGGCAAGAGGAGGGGCAGACTTCATGGTGGGCTGTGATGGGCTTAGGGCTGAGCTGGTCTCCTGAAGCTCCCGAGGTTTTCACATCCTGGCCAGCTTCCCAGCACGCATCAAAGGAGTCAGCGAATGCGTTCGGATTATCATGTAGGAGAGAGAAATATGGACGGTGACGGTGGGGAAGATGGTGATGGTGGTGGTGGTGATGGTGATGGCGGTCATGGTGATGAACATGGTGGTGGTGGTGGTGGGGCTGGTGGTGGTGATGGTAGTGGTG